CTTTCCTACAGTGAGAAAAACTAAAGGAAGAGAGTTCCAGAATCTGGGAGAAGCCTTCAAGTAGCCCTTCTCTTCAGCATCCACCAAATCTGCCTATGAAGAAGAGGGGTGGGACTGAGAGAAGGGCCTTCCAGGAAGATGTCATAGACTAGGTAGGCTTGTATATCTACTTTCAGATAGTGTGGACTCAGGTCATATAGGGCTTTTCAAGTCATAACCAGCTTTTTGAACTGTGCTCAGAAACGGATAGGTAGCTAGTGAAATCTTGAGTTCTCTTTAACCAGGCCACTTCCTGACCACAACCCTCTGGACCAGAAAACGATCCTGAAAACTCTACAAGGCAGCCCCATGTAGAGTGTAATATAATAATCTAGATAGGAGGCAACAAAGGCATGTCTCACCTTCGCCAGCTTAGATACCAGCAGGAGTGGGAACAGCTGGCATACTACTTTTAATGGTGTGTAAACACACTCCCACCTCCACCAAAACCTGGGTGCCCGGGCTCATGGCTGGATCCAAAACTATACCCAAACTGCAGACTTGTGGCTTCAGGAGGTGTCGTGACTGACCCTACTCAGCAATCAATCAATCAATAAATATCAAGCAAAACAACCCTTTATACCTTCCTCCTCTTGGGGCAAATTTTGTTAAATTTTTGTGGGCCCCATTCTGCTTATCTGTTTGGTAAACCTGAAAGGGACACTATCAAGGCTTTAATTCAAGCAACAAAATACCTCATATCTCCAGGACAGTTTAATTGCTGTTATGTACTTGAATAGCTCCACTGACTTAATTGGATTTATGGAGCAAAAAGCCCTTAGATGTGCCATCCTGGTCATAGTGTAGTTTGCTTTCTAGGCTAAAAAAAAATTTTACTTTTGTAAAGGCAATTTACTCAGAATTTGGCTATGGTAGCTGAAGCAGCGAGCTGTGGAGCCAGAGGAGAGCAGTTCAGTTCTTCACAGTGTCTTGTGGGAGAAGAATCAGCCTTTGAACAAACCTCGTAGTTGCAGAGCAACCCAAAAGGAGATAAGGATAGGCCACTTCTGAATACTCTATACTTGGAAAGATGTTTAAAGGGCTGTCATAAGTTAGAATTCACTTGATGGCACATTATAATTATTATGATAGATGACCTATCCCCTCTCCTTTGAGTTTCCATATACCCAAAGTCATAAGGAGTCCATGTGGAATGAGAAAGTGTCACCCCAAACCACTATTATGCACTAGTACTTCATTAATTCTCATTATTTTTTTCTAAAACCAGTGAAAAACTTAGGAATTAGCAATATAGATATAATGTGGAGAGATTACTCACAACACCAGACCCTCTATAGTATCAGGAACACTTACGACAATGCAGTGTAATGCCTGCACCCTGTATATGCAATTGGTGTTTCCACATTGTAAGTGAACTGGCCCATACTTTGAAACCAAAGGGCTTGAAATAAGTCAGAGACTTCCACATATTATTTGACAGAAACAACTTCTCCTCCAGGGCGATGGACTTGATCATCACAACAAAACACACACCAAGTGAAGAAAAAGTGGAATTAGAAGTGCTTGTTTTTCATGAATACCTTGTGGAAGATGAAGATGGCTGAAAGGATTTCAGAGGTAGAGCTAGAGTGATGGGAGAGGGAACGTTGCTTTCATATTATTGAAAGTGACAGTTGGCTACAGTGGCAGAGGAAAGAGCTTGAAAATATGTATCAGACCAATAATTACAGATCGCTCACCTGTTATCTACTTAAGCTACCCCAGGTAAAGGTAAAGGTTCCCCTTGACAATTTGTCTAGTCGTGTCTGACTGTAGGGGGCGATGCTCATCCCTGTTTCCAAGCCATAGAGCCAGTGTTTGTCCATAGATAATTTCCGTGGTCACGTGGCCAGCGTGGTTAGACACAGAACACTGTCACCTTCCCATCGTGGCGGTACCTATTTATCTACCCACATTTTCATATGCTTTTGAACTGCTAGGCTGGCAGGAGCTGGGACAAAGCGACGGGAGCTCACTTCATCACATGGATTCGATCTTACGACTGCTGGTCTTCCAACTTTGCAGCACAGAGGCTTCTGTGGTTTAACCTGCAGCGCCACCATGTCCTTTCTAAGCTACCCTACTTTCATTAAAATCTTGTATTATTAGCTGAACTAGCCTGACTAAACACGGTTTTGCAGTCATTCTCCCTTAAGCAGCATGAACAGTTCTGAGTCTATTTTTTTAAAGGAAAAACAAATTGGTACACTGAGAATCAAGTCATTTGAAAATTAGGCCATGTTCTTAATTGTACGTATGTCAGTTATCCAATTAACATTTCCCTCCTTCTCCTTGCCTTTCCTAATGTAGAACAAAGGCTGTAGAACAGGACTGTCAAACATCATAAAACACATAAGAAAGGTTTAAATCAAGTCTTTGAAACAATTCTGAAATGAACACAAACCAACTTCTCTCTTGTGTACGTACAGTACATATACATATACATCAGATAATGAACAATAATATAATTTTGTGGAATCGCAACGTCTTACAGCAAATAAATTACAGCAGGTGAAGGAGCCATTATTTACTTTGCCACATTCAGTGTGAGACAAATATTGAGATGCTGTGGCGAAAGAATTGCCCTACAGAACTTTAAAGATGAATTTGTTTATTGTGGCTCATTTGGGACTGCATCTCGCTTTGTCAAATGCATGAAACGTTCATCTCAGTTAATGTTTGTGTGCATTCTGCATGTTTACAGAACCATACAACTGTTCATTGGGGACCATAGTTCATAAGCAGCAAGAATGAGATACTGAAGGGGAAGAATATCAGCACTCCCATTAGTTTTTTTGAATTATACCTGATTTGTAATTCACTTCTAATCTATTCCATGATTTTGCACAATATGCCACTATGAATTATCCCTGCGGTACAAAATAGTGAATTTGCATGTGGCTGTTTAAGTTATTCATATGAACACTGCTGGTTGCTTTTGTGCTTAGCAAAATTTTTCTGCAAATATAATACTGCATGGGTACACAGTTTGGGGTAATGGACAGAGTGATGGACTAGGACCTACAAGACCTGGGTTCGAATCCGTGCTCCACCATGGAGACTCAATGAGGGGATGTAGCACTGCTCATATAATTTCATAAGTATCTCACTTCCCTCAAAACCCCTTTTCAGGTAACCATAAGTTGGATGCAACTTAATGGCATATTACACGTCATGCTGGCTGAAATCCAGTTGCATAGCTGTGCGTGTGTAACTCAACATTACACCTGCAGTAGCTACAAGTCCATCAAGGTGGTGTGCTGTCCATGAAGTACCTGTGCTCCAATGGGAGAAGTGCACATTTGTCTTGCACAGTCCTTGTTACTGAGGTGGAACACCCAGCACATTTACAATAGTGTCACTTTACATTGAGCCCTGACAAACTGGAGTCCAGCCACTGTATAATAAAATATTTTTATTAGATAATATATACATTTAACAAAACACTTCCTCTGACAGATAGTGACAGGTAGTTTCTGAGATCAATGTTCCCCCATTTGCATCTCAAACAGCAGTATAGCTCATCCCTAAATCAGGCTATCTCTGTTTAAAGACCTAGAGAGAGAGAGAGAGAGAGAGAGAGATGGGCAGTGACACGTGGGTTGCAAACAGTGGCGCCAAAAGAGCTTGCCGTGCAAGAGGGTAGCTGTTAGTCTGGTATATTTTTGGATGGAGTTCAAGTCTATTCAAGACGAGCACTGTCACCCATTCACAACTCAAGGGACTGTCAATGATGTTGTTTCTCTGGCAATACCAATTTAATACTTAAAGAGAAGAGATGCAGTTACTTCCTATGTTTATGGGTTTCCTGTGGGTCTCCCAGGGAAACCGTTGTAAACTGTAGACACTCTTCCTAGCTGGAAATAGAAGTAATAGGGTTGTACTTTAAAAAAAAAAAGGTATAAGGAAAGACTTGTTTCAACCAAATCCTCCTCCTTCATACTGGTTTGTAATCTCTTAATTTGAAGAGCCATAATTGCCTGAATATGCCTGAATGCAGTAGTCACATTTGATTTTGGAAGCTAAACAGGGTCAGGCCTGGTTAGGGCTTCGATGACAATTTGCCAGGATACCAGGGATCTTTTGGTAGGTTGGGGAAGAATCTAGGTAAAATTAGAAATGAATCTTGCCTGAAATCCTGGAGGGCTCTTGCTAGTCCGAGATGACAATGCTGGTTGAGATTAACCTATCCTGACTTGTCATAAAGCAGCTTCCTGTTTTCTCATGAATTCTCTCCTGCTCCCTTCCAGTTATAAGTGCTGCTGAATGTCTAATAAAAGTACCTTAAAAAATCTAGATTTATTGGCCAAAATCCTATTGTTGTTCGTTTAAAGGCTGTGTCTTGTCATGCCAAGACTCTCTACAGAGATGTCCTCTGCAGCAGTGAGATTTTATATATATAAATCCTGATTTTCCCCAAACTCCTAATGATCCTCATATATATAAAAACCAGGATCATTGGGAGTTTGGGGAAAATCAGGGTTTGAAAATAATAATAATAACAGATACCTAGTAATATATGCAGAAGCAGTTATTAAGACATACAATTTGATATAAACCCAAGCCTCATTTTGGGAGCCAATGTGGTAGAGTGGAGGGAGGGTTGGATGAATTAGGAAACCAGATTATGAATCCTTGTTTTCAAACATTGCAATTCACGGGGGGGGGGGGTCAGTGGGAAAACCACTCCTTACATGTCTCACAAGCCTTGGAAACCCATTTAAGATCTCTATAAGTCAGGTATGACTTAATGGCAGATGACGACGACGATGATGACAACAACAACAACAACAACAACGATGATGATGATGTGTAGTCAGTTCTGAGTTATGGAAAACCTTTCCGGGGTTTTCTAGGTAGAGAGTACTCAGAAGTGGTTTACCATTCCCTTCTTCTGGGGACACACTCGGGTTTTGCAGCTTGATAACCCACAATAAATCCATACTTATGTTTTTTTCCAGATTGTCATTGCCAGCATCATGTGCAGCTATAGTAAAGATGATTGGACTGAACTTTCAAAAATGGCTGAGGTAATGGCCTCTTTATTATGCTTTCCTTTCCTATTTTCTTTCTCTCTCTCTCTCTCTCTCTCGGTTTTATTCCATGAGAGACAGTGTAAAAGAAAGGAAATTCAAGTAAAAATGAAAGTTTAAGACATATCCGTTATTGCTTGTTTTTTCCATGTTTTCATTAAAATGATAGAAATGTAAATGAAAGGAAACTTCCATTAAAACAGTGCCTTGGATGTTGTACTCTACCTAAAAATTCTTTAGCCTTTGAATTGCTACACTTTTTATTTGCATTTTAAGCAACCTGCATATTATGACAAATGCCCTGATAAAATTTAATTCTACCTTTGAGAACCTAACTTGATCTTACCTTGCCTTCAGGCACTCTAGTTTGACAGCACCAGAAGAAATTTTGAATATAAAAGTTCTGAATATTTAAAGTATAAAAGGCTCCTTTAATGTTGTTCTGCTTCTTATAAAGGTCCTATTCCTCCCCTTCCCCCCCCCCACGGCAACACAATAGCCTGTACATAATAGCATTTTGTTGATTTTTTCTGTAATATAAATACCATCTTGCACAAATGAAAACATCTCAGTCAACCACCTGGAATTTGTAGGCTTTTATATATGTTTTAATTCAGGCTTTGAAAATACTGATGCAGCCTGGATTGAGCAAGGAATATTTTATTGAGACATTGATATAGTGGCTGAATAAAGACATGAATGTGTATTGTGAATAAAAAGAGGGGCTTGAAAAGTATACTATTTTCTAGGAATAAGCATTTGAACTCTATAGGTTCAACATTTTTCCTGAGCTGTACCACTACAGCATGCAGGTCAATTTGCATGTTTGAGTACCTCCATATATGTGTTAGGAACGGGAACCTCTCTGCACACTGCAAATGAACATGCAAGGGAGAAAGCTTCAACCATACCTTCCCAACATTTTAAAATAGGACCATGGAGAGAATGTGTTTTTCATAGGTTGTCAAAGTGTAGGCATCCTTCAGTCTCGAGAGACTATGGTATCGTGCTCTGTATGGAGGTCTTGGAACAGTGTCTTGTGTGGCTGAGAAGGACATGCAAGGGAGAAAGCTTCAAACATACCTTCCCAACATTTTTAAATAGGAGCATGGAGAGAATGTGTTTTTCATAGGTTGTCAAAGTATGGACTCCTTTATCCTCAGTGGTCCAGGAAAAAATATTGCCATGATTTTCCAGAAGGTACACACTGGTGCAGTTGTATTTTGAACTTAGGGAGACTGTAGGGTTCACCCTTATTATGTTAAGTAGCTATGAATATTCATGTTTCAGGTTAATGTTGCTGAGAGGCAGAGCCGAGAGAAATGTAATAAAGAGGCGGAGTCAGAGAGTGAAAGTGGTCAGTCAGAGTCAGAATGAGAGAGTGGAGAAGGAGATAGAGTGTGGTATTTGGGAGATCTGAGGTGTGATTAGAGTGAAACGTGAATAAGAACTGTAATGACAAATTGAAGGTTGAGATTGATGATAATAGAAGTTACCTATGATTAATATTCAAAGATCTGTAATCAATAAAATTGTTTTATTTAAAAGACAATAAATTTTGGACCTGCATCGTCATCCTTCCATGATTAATGTTGATTTAGTGATCAACTGGTGGCAGCGGGTGAAAAGGAGTAGTAATTTGCCTTCTTGTGCTCTGTGTTTGGAGGGTCAGGTAAGGGGCACGAGGGCGAACACCACAAAGACCTACATCTATACATCAAATCGGATTGCACATCTAAACATTTGATCCCTCCAAAAGCCATAAGAGAAGCTGTACCACTGGTTTTACATGCAGACTGAGTCCATGATAGTAGTCATACTAAGGATGTAAAAAATTACTTGTAATTTTCTCATTCTCATTTAGACAGGGTGTCACATACTTGCTAACCCCCATGACATTTCTCATCTGCAGTGTGAGAATGAAACAAAAAGCAGTTTTTTTACATTCAGTTTTCTGCATTTTGCAAACCATTTATTTGCATGAAAACTCCCGCCTTTTCCTTTTATGAAGCTAAGCCTATACACAACAAGCACAGAAAGAAGGGCTGATTGGTCAAAAATATACAATCAATTCTTCTGCTTTTTAGAAGTGTCCTAAACCCAGTGGCCATTGCAGCTTTGTGCAATTTGTGTGAATTTTTTTTCTTGCAAATGTACAAAATTCTCACCAAAACCAAACCTTAAAGACTCTCATAGGATAACAGACAAGGAGGACAATTTTTTATGACAACGTGAGGATCTACTGTATGTCACTAAAATGGACAGGAGCTGAGGCTTTGCCCAAGAAGTGATGACCAGTAGCCAAATTTCTCTATCCTAAACAATTGGTCGGTAGAGATATAAAAATTTGACCCAATACAAAGCAACACCTCAGCAAGGAATTTTGAAACTCCATGAGATTTCCTTCCTTCTAACGAAGAGTGAAGTATCTAACCCTGTCCCTTTGAAGCAAAACACACACAGCAAGCATTGTAAGACCAGCTGATGGTTAAATCTGTCCCATAACCAGGCCTGAAGCCAGACTGAAATGGCTCTAGATACGGTGGACCCTCGACTTACAGACAGCTTGACTTACAGACTTTTCGAGTTACAGACTTCTCTAGCCACAAAATTTAGGTTCGACTTGCAGCCAGAGAATCGACCTACAGACCAAAAAAAACCCAAAATGGAACAAAAATGGAACAAAAATGGCCGGTTACGGGATTAATTGGTTTTCAATGCATTGTAGGTCAATAGAGACTCGACCTACAGACTTTTCGACCTGCAGCCACCGTTCCAATACGGATTAATTCTGTAAGTAGAGGGTCCACTGTTGGGATCCTCATCCAGGAATCTCTGCAACTGTGAATCTACCACATGCTCCGATTCCTTGCCCAGGAATGGAACATTAGAAACTGGCTGGTAGTTATCCAGTACCATGGGATTCAAGGGAAGCTTTTTCAGCAATAATCTTACTACTGCCTCCTTTAAGCATGCTGGGATCCTACCCTGCTGTAAGGGGGTATTCACGACTCCTCCTACCCACTGGGTCAGTCTCTTTCTGGCACTTCTATAAGCCACGAACGGCCAATAGCCAAGAGATGTGTAGTATCCTTCACCTCGCCAAGGATCCTGTCCACGTTCTCAGGCTGAAAAAAACTGAAACATATCCATTAACACAGGGCAAGTAAAGGCCATTGTTGCATTCGCAGGACCCATTTAACTACAGCATCCAAGTCAGATTAGATCCGAGCAATTTGGCCCGCAAAGTGCCATGCAAATTCTTCACAGTGGGGTGTGTTATTCTGTTTGTTCTCAGTGCTTTAAGACACTGAACCTTGGCTGTATTTTCCTTTCTAATTTTTTTCCTCTTTTTTTTAAATATATCTGATTATAATTATTCTAGCTACAATACATTCATCCTAATGTTTTACACAACTCTTAATATTGTTTCACATGTTACAGTTCTACAGGAAGACTGTTGTTATAAAGTTAAGCATCTTGCTGCCAAATACATGTGACCTTCCAAGGTCCATAAACCCTAGAGGGTATGTAGCCTGGTCTCCACAGGAGGCCAGTCCATGTACACTAAAGGTCATCTTGTCAAGGAAGTAAATAATAAAAATAACAACAACCCTTCATGCAGAGGTTTGAAGCTCAACAGGAAGGGGAAGGCTTGAGGGAAATGATGGATAGCATTTCTTGTGATCAGTCTCTTCAGAGTTTCTGAACCATAGCCGCGCAGCAGGCAAAAGTCATTCCTGTCACTCATCAATCATGAAGTGCAACTTTCTAATTTATACTAAGTGGTTAAAAACTGATTTGTTTCAAATGAATGCAGGATGTTTCTCTCTTCCTACCTCAGGGACTGTAAACTGAGTGGAGATCATCAAAATTATTTCCTCCCTTGACCCTTATATCCCTCACTTTAATACCATTGACTTTGGTAAGGCAAGAGTTGCTACCAAACCACCAACAGTCATGCCCAGTGACTAGATTTGCTAATCACTGAAGTCAGAGTTCAGTATCTGTAGATACAGGTGGTCAGATATTAACTTTTACACACATAACAAACTGCACAATGTATTTGCATGCCTATTTATCAAAAGCTATGTTCACTAAGCATGCTGTTAATGATGATCTCATGGTGTAAAGATCTTTGCATGTATAAAGCATAAGCCAAGCCAAGCGTGCTGTTATATACTGCCTCATAATGGTTAAAGCACTCTCTGGGTGGTTTACAATTTCATTATGGAGGCTATATTCTCCCCTCCCCCATGGCAAGCTGGGTATTCAGTTTACTGACCTCAGAAGGATGGAAGGCTGAGTCAGCCTCAAACCAGCTACTCTGATCATGAACAGAGTTTTGTCTGCAGTACTACAGTTCACGGCACCACAAGGCTCCTGCACCATGCTCATCAATAAAGTTTGTGGATTCCTCCATCTTCAGTAGTTGGGGGGGAGGGGCAAAAAATCTGGTAGAAGCATCAGAAGTTGCCTTATACCTGATGATGCCATCCATCCGTCCATCTAGTTTAGCGTAGTCAATTCCAAGGAGCAGCAACTTTCCAGCCTGTTGCTGGATCCTTTTAGATTGAGGTCCCATCTGTCCATCTAGTTTAACATAGTCAATTCCAAGCACCAGCAACTTTCCAGGCCATCGTGCCTGTTGCTGGATCCTTTTAGATTGAGGTGCTTGATACTGCATCCTGAAGGCTCTCTGTGCAAAGCATGTGGACTCTGCTGCTGAAATATTGTTTGTCCCTGCTAAGGAATCCAACTAAATGTAACATTGATGCATGTAAAGATTTGATGTGTTTACTTCTAATAGTTTAAATAGTCACTGCAGTGTACCCCAGATAGTTTGGGGATCATAGAGAAGAGAGTTAATGGCCAAAGTCCTCTTGCTTAGTGTAGTAAATTGTACTAGAGTAGGCCAGTTGGATCATTGGAGTTTAGTAAGTCAACTCCAGCGTAAGTTCCATTGATTCAAATCCACTACTCTAACTTACTAGGCTCATTTGAATCAACAGAACCTACAGAGGAGTTGACGTACCAAACCTCATTGGTTCAGTGGGCCTACTCTAGTGCATTTGACCACATTAGGCAACACAATTTTGGCCAATATCGCTTACCCTTCCCTGTTAACTGATGCCACCCCACCAAATATCAGCCCCCAAAGCAGTGTTCATGAGACCCCTCATTCTAGTTGGAACTACCCCAAGCTGAGAGAGGTGCTGTGATATTTGTCTGTAGTGGGGTGTGGCAGGAAGAAACAAATTAACCACCTCCAATTTTTTTGTCATCTGAATCTGAGGTGGCTATTTTTTTTAAAAAAATGGCTGTGTCTAAATGCTTACCTTTAATCGAAATCACACCCGTTTTGGCTCATTTAGAATTCTGAGAAGAGTAGCTTGAGGGACTTGATTTGTCTGTGGCTCAAATGTTAACATATTCCAAAACTCTGAAAGCCGGACTCAAATTCTCAGGAACCTCTTTACTGGTTTTGTTGCTGACTTCATTAAATCCAACTTTTAAAAAAATGTATTCAGTGAACGGATGTCTTCCAGGAAATTACTTGCGGTCTTTTAATTGAGGCAGACAAGGAGGGAGTAGGGTAAAGCCTTACTGCTGCCCTTTCCTTTCTTGTGGAGTTATCCGTGCCCTGAACATAAATGCTCATTTGCCTGGGCTAGGAACTCTTTTAATGGTTTCTTCATCACAGGATAGTGGATTCAGTTTCAAGTAAGAGGTTCCTGAAGTCTGCATCATACTCCTCTAAAAATCACCAAATTTCTCTTGCTGGGTGTTGAATATAGATCTTCAGGCCATGACTCGTTTAATCATGATAGACCTGCTATTCCTTCATAATTCATAGCGATAGGAAAAATTTTCAGATAAAATAAGATCTCCTCTCTGAATTTAAATCGTATCTCAGAATTAATCCTGACCTGTACGAACCCCTGAAGAACTTTGGGTAAACTTTTCTCTCTCCCTTTCCCTCTTCAATACAATCATTTTGCTGTGTTTGAATTCAGGTTGTGGACAAATGTGAAAATGTTCTTTATCAGGTTTTTGGTTTAACTGGACTGGCTCATGAGGCTTTGGAAAGCCTTTAAATATGTAGCAAAACTGTGGCTGTTCAATTTTTTTGCTCTAGCACATGTGAAGCAAGTGTTTCATACTTAGAAAAATTTTGATATCAGTATGGCTAGGGATAGGAGTTCTATGACATATTATTTCCCCCCTGCAACCTATGTTTGAGTTTATGGCTGGGTTTGACCATGTTTATGAGTAATCTGGTGAGAAAGGGCAAATTGCTCATAAACATGTTTGAACTTGCTTGTGGATTCAAATGTAGGTTGCAGGGAAAATGTGAAATGTCATAGAAATCCTCCTCCTAATTATTATTATCACTGTTATTATTGTATTCTAAAAAGAAGTGGCTGTGCAGATGCCTACTGTGACGATTTACACATTCCTCTGAATCTGAGGAAGGGCAACTAGAAGCATTGAAAGCCTCCACAAGAGTGCATACCAGAAATAAATAAAGGCAAAAGATGATGTCTTAAGTCACAGCATAAGAGAAATCATGTAAGCCTTCCCCCACAGTGGCAGCTTTCCTGATGCATGCCCAATTGTGCAACAAGTTGCACAGTTAATCTTGTGAGCAGCTGCACAATCTATTTAACAATCAGTGCAATCCTGCTGGGGTGCAGGGAATACTTGAAAAATACCCCTTTTGCAGTTGCCTAAAACAACAGGTTACTAGCCAGAACACATAGAGAAGATAGTGCCTATGATGTCTGTAGGAAGGAAATGGAACTTTGCAGTGTGCCATTTTACTAGAAGAGTTGCCAAGATCACACAGATTTTGAAACTCATGCTTGGAACAGACAATACTTTGCTTTGGAAACATAGCAGAAGGTGATTTGGAAGAAGCATGAATTCCTGTGTTGTGCGCAGAGATGCACTCACCTAGTTCTTTTTGTCCCACTACTGCTTCTCATCAGATCAGCTTCACAGGTTTCTGAAACAGTAGAAATATCTAAAAACGTATTCACTACTGGCAGAATTAGGATGAATAATCTACCTAGTAGGCCCTGTCAAGCATGTAGACACCCGTGGCTTTCTCCTAATCTGACAACGGAAAAGTGAGCAAGGAGTAACAACCATGCCAGGTAGAAACTGCCACCAGCAACAAGCAGATCTCTTCATCACATAGGAGGACAAGACAGTCAAAGAGCTACATCTATCCTCCAATTTCATGGGAAGGTATTCCTGGCAATATGGTATAAATGCTGTTCTGCGACTCAGGTCACGAACCATCTCTGAGCGTGCTTAGCTTTTTATATCTTCTGAATAAATTGTGAATAGGTACTTTCTGAATGAAGCTGACCACTAGAGGTGAAGAAAAGATTTACTTTTTAATGAATGCATTGAATATGAGCAACACAAGACTTAATGCCAAAAATGGGTTTTAACAGATGTGCAGCACTTCTCTGCTGTTCACTGTAATTATTATTTTTAACCAAGATGTTCTTAAGATGCTTTTCACTTACATTCTCTTTTAATATGATAGCTAATTGAGTAGAATCCTGCTTCTTATGCCTGGCGGCATATATTCTTATGCCAACAGCAAACATTTTACGGACTGCTGACCATTCAGAAGTCAACTCCTGCAGGATGGGGCAGGGGTTTGCCACAGGACAGTCAAATGACTTATTACGTGGCAAGTAAAACAAAATCTGCTTTCTTAACTGGCAGCAATTCACAGCTGACATTCTACACTGTTGGAATTAGACCTGTGTAAGTAAATGACAGGATTCCAACCAATGTGTTTTAATATTTAAATTGTATTGGATTGTTAGTTTAACATTAGTTCACATTATGGAGAAAGTAATACAGATTACTACTGCATACAGTACATATACGTTTATATAATAATGATGAGGATACCATATGATTCCTTTTTGTGGATCCAAGCTCCTTCAAGGGATCTTATTTGCAGGTTTATGAAAATATCACCAAAACCAGTTGTCTGAAATGACTGTTAGCAGGAGGTAAAGCAGATGGAGAGTGTGCCGTCTCCTCAGTGGTCTGAAAGGGAAGGAGAAGCGCACGAAAGGGAAAGTCTCCTGTGAGCAGGAGTTAAAGCAGATGGACAGTGTGCCATCCCCTCAGCGGTCTGAAAGGGAAGGAGAAGCGCGCGAAAGGGAAAGTCAAGAGAAAGAAATAAAAGTGGTAGGTGAGGAACAGGAGTCAGATGTGCATGAGATAGAGGAAGATATGAAAGGGTTGGGAATGAGAACAAAGGGGGGGTCAAGAGGAAAGGCTCGAGAGGAGGTAAACATTTTCTTCACAATGGAATGAAATGGTCAGTTGGGAGAAACAGAAAAGTAGTGGTATGTGAGGAGGATTGGGAAGAAACGGAACCATACAATACTAGAATATTTAAAGTACCAAAGGGAGATTTGAATAAAGAATGTAGAAAGGAAGAAATAAATACTGGCAAAGAGATAGGTGATAAAGATATGGGGACAAAACCGATAATTGAAGGACTTATGCCAAAGGAATGGACTGTGTTAGTCTTCCCAAGGGGACGCAGCCCTGTGAGATACGTGAATCATCTCAAGCCTCCTCAACTGAATGAAAAACCAATAGAAGGGGAATGGTCCAGACACCCTTGTTGCAGGACCATCTGTGCCATGAGGAGTGGGAATCTGAGGAAATCCAACAACCAAGAAAGATTTATTAGAAGATCTGTTAAATACGTCATTACCTTTGTTATGGGATTGTTTACCTGAAAAGTTATTGTTTGATGTTAACAGTGACATAATTAAGACACAACAACTGAATGTAGTTAATAAAGATTTTAAAATGATATTCCATTATTGTCATTTTGTTTACAAGAAGAGGAACTCTCTAAACATTTTAACAAACCCTATCACAATTGTATATTTGAGAAATTGTCTATGCTAAAAAAAAACATGCATAGTAGAGAAAATGACTTAGTAACGTACCCCTCTCCTATGTCCATTTACTAAATGCAGGAACTTTTTACATCAGGGTTTATTCAACAATCTGACATACCAGCCTGCTTTCTAAAGTACTGCCATCGGTAGTGGAGGTGGGTGGGTGCGAGGGTACACATCAGCCAATAAAACCAACCAAGAAAATGCTTCCTTTTAGATGTGGCCCTTTAAAATAATGTTCAGCTTTTTCTTTGCTCCATTTTGCTTTGAATTAGTCATGAGCTAAAATAAATATTGATGGTATGTGCATGTAAGGCAAGGAGGAGGGAATATTTCATGTGCTGTGAGTTATCTACACATCAGGTTGTCATTTGGGAAATTACCTTCAGTGAAGTGGTATACGATTTGCCAGTTAATATTTGATATTTTCTTTTGTATATGTCATGCAGGCTTCTGGAGCTGATGCCCTGGAGTTAAATTTATCTTGTCCGCATGGCATGGGAGAGAGAGGCATGGGCTTGGCCTGTGGGCAGGTAGGACTTCTAATGGCTATCTCTTTCATGTCTCTTCAGCAACACTATGCCATTTCATTGATAGTCATACCTTAGGGGCTAAGAACCCACAATGTCGACTGCTAGCCTGGGATTCTCCGGCCTCCCCTTGTTTAAATATTTAGTGCTAGAAATGTGGGAAGTGACAAGAGTCTGAGATTACACACAGCGTTTATTTTTATGGAAGACAAAATTGCATTATGCGCTTGACAGGAAGCAATATCATAACAAATAGTTGCCAAAATGCTCTGACAGAATTGTACTTTATGCATTCTTAATGTGGACCAGCGTCTCTGGGGAAATGCAGTACAAGCAACTTTGAGCTCATAGGCATTTTACAGAAGGTTAGCTACAGCAGTGGCATTTTATGGTTATTTGAAATCCATGTCATAAGAGACATGACAGAACCTGTTTTAACACAGGGGCTGGACCAATGACTTCCTTCTAAACCATTGCTTGTGTGAATCAAGGAACCCAGGTCCTCACTGTGCAATCCTATAGATGGCTACCCAGAAGGAGACACAACCCTACCCATTTGATGCAAGCAAACGTTGAGGTCTTCCTCCGTGATTCTTTCCTGACTGGAATACAGCTGGCTGGCACAGATGAGGCACCAAGCCTGGGTTCTGTTCCAGATCTGTTTGTAGAAGGACTGGGAATGTGGAAGGTTAGAAAGAAGTGCGACGGGAGAGTATTTTACTGGCAACTGACAAAGCATGAAATGTTCATTTCCACCAGTGTAAACGAGTTATCTTTGTATCTGTGCATGTTAATTTGTCATGGATATGGGTTAAGAGATACCATAACATTTTTTTCAAAGCGGTAGCTGTTGAAAACTGCTTGTGGACAGTGTTATACTGGCTGCTTTTCCACAGAAGGAGAGGCACACTACACATGATAACAATGACTCTTTATGAAAGTGGGTATTAAACGTTGCCAGTTATATTTTGAAAAGAAAGGGGCCTTGGGACCTCGATCCACAATCCATTATATTTCTCACAAGTTCCTTGGTATAGGAGTTTGTTTCAGCATTAATTTCCAATGTCACACGCTTTCACCAAATCTATTTGCAGAAAGACCAGTAATACTGAAGGCTAGAAAGAATGGGCAAATGCTGTAGTGGGGAAGTGTGGAGTTTAAATGCAAGTTGTATTAAATCTAGGGGATGTTCTGGTTTATGAATTCAAATAGAAACAACGAGGAAGTGTTCTGGGGCACACAGCATTCTTCCAGATGGAAATTATAAGCTAACAGCAGTCTGATTTCCATAATGTAATGCTCTAAGCCAGTGAAATAAGGTTTTAAATGAAGAATTTATTTAACAGATAATAGAAATGTATGAAATATTAAAAGAAAAAAATTCACATTATAGGGAAAGCAAAGCTGATTGCTATTACATACACACATGTTTATGCAATAATAATAATAGCATATTATTGATTTTGTGGATCCGAGTTCCTCCAAGGGGTCTTATTCACTGGATAGTCTTTGGCACTAAAATTCAGCAGTTGGCTCTTTGATTCTCCCGTTGCTGGAAGATGTGTAAAAATGCAGGTAGCTGGGTTGTGCTCCCCACTGACTACACATTGAAGAGGCTTCCAGTGCTTGCATACATTATTCCTGCTGGCACAGGTTAGCAATGGCTTATGCAAAGAAGGAAGAAAAGGGAGGGAAAGGGAAGCTGAAATGTGTTTATTTCTATTTTGAGGGGAGGGAGAACTCTTCAGGATTTACCTTGATCAGAAGCACACAACTTTGGGTGGGGATCTGTTCCAGCCTCTATCCAGCCTCTATCAGAAACCATCCATCTGGCCATCTGCACACCCCATGCTGCAGTGTTCACAGATTGTTTTAAATCTGAAGATCAGAAGTTTATTGGTCTCTAACAATGAGTGTAAATCTTATGATGGAATGTGCATGGTAAAATTAATTCCATCTAACTGCTGCTTCCATTCCACACAGTCCCCCTCACCCACAACCATGTTGGGTCCCTTTAAGAAGAAAGGTGAAATAAAATAAAATAAATCTACATTTGTTGGCTTTATGTTCATTGTATTTTGCTACTGGACTTTCTGCGGAGCATCTTTATCCCTTTCTGTAAATGTTATACAGAACTGTACTTTTTACGGTCTAGGCTGGAAGGAACAATATTTACAACCTAGCAGAGCGTAATGATTGATGGATCCATATGAGGTCAAGGGTTAAATTGGCCAGCTGACTCTAAGTTTATTGGCTGGGAGGCAAAGCTAAATACCTGTGTTGTTTTAACAAGCTTTGCCTAGTGCCCTGTCATTAATGTAGGACTATGTTTTGGTTTCTCACTCTGCAGTTTTCCCAGCACAACTAGAACATAGTCAAAGATTGTGTTTTGGACTTCTAGTGAGCTGGTAAGCTGGAGCCGTTAAGCTGGTGTCACTTTTTTAAAAAGCATCAAGCAAAAAAATGTATAGAAAATCTGGAAAGAGAGAGATTGGTTTTCCTTGCAAATTGCTTCAACAAGATGCTTTGTTGACCGTTTGTTTATGTCTAGTTGATGTCTTCCTATCAAGTTTGCATCCATGTGTGCACACAGGCGATGTACCCAGCCACAGTGAGGGAAGTGTCACTACGATGTCTTATTCTAATAGTAGTCCTTTGACAGAAGTTGGTCCTCTCTTACTTCTTCCCCAACTCCCAGCCTTTGAAAATTAGCTAGTGAAACTGGACTCTGATAAAAAGCAGTAATCACCTGGTTAAAACTGTGTTTCTTCTCATAACATAGAGGTACAATCACAATTGAATTTATGCAATTCTGTAAAATACAGACTACAGTCTTTTTGGTGTTCCTTAAAGTGTGCATAACGTGCCATGGGTGCATTGCAGTTGATTGACAAGGAGGTGGGCCTTCATGATATTGATCAAATTCCTAACTGCAGCTCCTCTTCAGCCTTGGGAAGTCTTCATTATAAAGCCAAATTGGACCAAGAGCATTGGACCAAGCTGTTCAAGGAGTTCAAGAGTTCTGTTTTTAGAGACTTCTAGACAGAGGTTAGAAGGACACTTGCAATTAACACATAAATATGTAAAGGAATACTGCTACTCCTTTTCTGCCCCAAAGAGCACAGCATTTGCCATCCTGTTGCATCTTTTGCTCTGGAGATCCCACTGGTTCAGGTACACTTGAGGCCAGGTAAAGTCCTTTAAGGCTTTTGTAAAGGCAGCCATCCAGGAACACAACAGCAAATGCATCTGTTTACGTTGATCTGCTGTTGCTTAAACCAGTGGTTCTTAACCTTTGTTACTCAGGTGTTTTTGAACTGCAACTCCCAGAAACCCCAGCCAGCAGAGCTGATGGTGAAGGCTTCTGGGAGTTGCAGTCCAAAAACATTTGAGTAACAAAGGTTAAGAACCAGTTGCTTAAACTACCCTCAGCATCAGAAGAATGTTTGGTTCCTCCTTTTAAAACCTAGTTTTGCAAGAACTTGGGGGGGGGGGGGGAGAGAGAGAGAATGAGAGAGAGAGAGATTCCTTATTTTCTTTTCCTGTATATTTGATCCTGGGAAGATGCATGGTCAAAACATTAAATATTTTGACTTGGTTGCTTTCTGACTGAATTAAATTATTCACACATTCAGGGCTAATTCAAGATGGATTGATAGGAGAAAATAATAACCCAGCTTGAATCAAACACAAAGCATCGTTTAAATCACTGCTCAGCCTTATATATATATATTTGTTGCCATTTTCTGATCTGCTTGTTGCAGGGTCTCCCAGCCTCTTTATTTGTTTATTTTACTAGGTCATATATAATGTCCCTGTTTTTACCCAGTTTCTGTTTTAACTGCTTTTCTTTCCCTTTGCCTCCTGGGCATCTGTTTTCCTTTCTTTTTTCCTTTTTTTTTCTTCCTGTAGCTTTCTTTAATCTCCTCTCCTGCTGTTGCTTTCTAGCAAGCAAGGACAAAATTACTACTGTTACTGGAATATACCAATAACTCATTTAGTTCCATGTCTTCCTTTCGGCATTGGCGTCTTTCCAAATCTATTTTATTCCTACTTCTTTCTTCCTTTTCTCCTAAATCAGATATGAAGAACAAAGAATGATATCCTGAAAGTCTGAAATTCAGAATGGGGGGCGGGGGGCTGGCGGAGAGGGCAAGCCTCCTATTCTTTTCTCTGTGCTTTGGTCTTCCACTTATACAACATTGATGTTCACTAAATATATGCCCATGTCTCCTGGCAGATATTGTGAACATTTGAAAGGGAGATGAGCGGGACAGATGGTAACTCATCACAGCCCCAGTCATAGAATAATGGAGTTGGAAGGGACCTCTAAGGCTATCGAGTCCAACTCCGTGCTCAGTGAACCCTGCCATAGCTTCAGCAGAAGCATGTGTTACATATAGTAGCATTTGGCCCCACAACAGACTTGTTTACGTACTGAATCCCTTTCAGGGTGTAAGGGGTTTGTCTAATATCATTGCAGAACTAGAGACAGTGAGATGGTGTTTTTAAATGGGAGCATAACTCTGAATAGCAAGTCAAGATAATAAACTGTTCCGTGTTTTCAGTGCTTTATATTCATTTGTATAATACATAATCACTCCACCCTTCCTCCAGAGAGTCTAGAGTCTATGGTTCATGCCACTTTCCATTTTATCTTCATAACACTGAAGTTAGAAATGGTGACTGTTAAAACAAACAAACAATCCTCACACTGCTTTGCATCTGGACATAACTTGAACCTCTTAAGGGAAGGGACTGAGCTTGGTGGTAGAGCACATATTTTCTAGCCATATCGCCCACTCACCTCTCTCAGACCCCAGAGAGCTGTTGCTGCTGAGTTTAGATAAGACTGAGTGAGGTGAGCTAGAAGCTCATTAGGTTTAAGGCAAAGTCTTAGGTAAAGGTAAAGATTCCCCTTGACATTTTAGTCCGGTCGAGTTCCAAATCTACAGGGTGGTGCTCTTCCTGTTTTTTCAAGCCGTAGAGCCAGCGCTTGTCCG